TATATATATATATATATATATATATAATGTATTGTAGGATAATATATAGTTGTTGTACTACTGTATAGTGGTTTCTATAGTAGTTTTTTGTTGCAAGGTAGTTTTGAATAGTTTAGTAAATACAATATATAAATAATATATAATAAATATATGATACCACTTTATTTTGAAGGTCCATTTGAGTATTAGTAGATTGTCTGCTTAGTATCACACACACACACACACACACATACAGCAACAATATGCTGTAGCATTCATTAACAAAGTCCATCAGTCAAACTTGAAAGTAAGTTACTAGCTAAAAGTGGCTCACACAGACATTGTATGTAAAATGTAGTGTAGTGTTTGAGCAAATACAAAAAAATCTATTATATAAATGTTGTTTATTTCTAGAATGTTCTAAAAGACAGGGCTTGGAGGCTATCAGATGGAGTGATTCAGTGTAGCTTTCGCAGAGACGTTCATCAGCCGCCTGAAGATCTGAACAGATTCAGCCTGGATCAGATGTACTATCTCTTCATGGCACACGGTCGTGCTGATGATGGTGAGAGATTGAATTTGTTTGTTGTTGTCTGCTCAGAGTGACCGGTGTTGTCAAAGACTGTGTTTTTCTTCCTCTGTTTGTAGGACGAACTCATCGACATGACCGGCAACCTCTGATTTCAGCCTCTCAGACAGACATGACAGGATCTCCAAAAGAAATAGGTGGCTCTCGGTCGCCCCTTCTCATGAAATTTCATGGTGAGGCCAAATAATGGAAACTTGGATGTTAAACATGGTAAACAGAGAGATGTACGTACAGTGATTTGAAATGCTAAACTACATACAGTATATGACGTCATACTATTTTCATCTGACAAAACAGGCAAAACAAATCTTAAATTTATACAATTAATCATTTTAGGGCATGGATATTTTTGGTGAAACTGAAACCAAAGTAAAACTGTTTATTTAAGTAATTTAAGACTTAAGAACCATATTTTTTTTATTGAAATCAAAAGTAATTAAAATATATATACACTCACTGGCCACTTTATTAGGTACACCTTACTAGTACCGGGTTGGATCCCCTTTTGCCTTCAGAGCTGCCTCAATCCTTTGTGGCATAGATTCAACAAAGTACTGGAAATATTCCTCAGAGATGTTGGTCCATATTGACATAATAGCATCATGCTGTTGCTGAAGATTTTTCGGCTGCACATCCGTTATGCGAATCTCCCGTTCCACCACATCCCAAAGGTGTTCTATTGGATTGAGTTCAGGTGGCTGTGGAGGCCATTTGAGGACAGTGAACTCATTGTCATGTTCGTGATTTATGACATGGCATGTTATTCTGCTGGAAGTTGCCACTACTTCTAACTAAATTGGCTGTAGTGTATGAGTGTGCGAATTAGAGTGTATGGGTGTTTCCCAGTTCTGGGTTGCAGCTGGAAGGGCATCTGCTGTGTAAAAACATATTCTGCAATAGTTGGCGGTTCATTTCACTGTGGCGTCCCCTAATAAATAAGGCACTAAGCCGAAGGGAAATTAATGAATTTATTAAAACAATCTAACTTTTTACATCTGGTTTCTGTTATTTGTCCTGTTTGTATTGGCAGGGGCTTTAATGTTGATTGCCTGGACGTCGACTGTCACCGCTGGGGTCATCATGGCAAGATACTTCAAACCCGACTGGCCGGAGCAGAACATTTTGGGGCAGAAGGTCTGGTTTCAGGTGGGCACTGCTTTGCTAAAATGAGGATGTCTGTAGATTTCCAGATGTGACTCATCCTCAATACTCTTTGTTTCCTCAGTTACACCGAATGCTGATGAGCCTCACAGTTCTGCTCACACTGGTCGCCTTTGTTTTACCTTTTATCTACAGAGGAGGTTGGAGCAAGGTAACACACACATCCAACACACGCAAACACAAGTCTGGTTTATGTTTCTTTGTGAAGGCTCTCCATAAACATAATGATTTTCTTTATACTGTACAAACTATATAAACAGACAACCTCCCATACATTCCACATACACACAAACACACTCAACACACAGCATGCACACACACACACACACACACACACACACACACACACACACACACACACACACGTGCACATACTCAACAATCACCCTCAACATACGAGCATTCAACTCGCATAACATGTACTCACATACACACATGCTGGTTCACTATGCACACAACACACACACACACACACTTAGTATGAACACACTCAACATGCAAACATCGTACACACAGACACAATTCAGCGCACACACAATACTGTATACACACACAGTCAACACACTGCACACACACAACAGACACACATACTGTAACATACACACACACTGTAACTAACACACACGCACCCATAACATATACATGCTTAACATACACACACACTCAACATACACACAGAGCCAACACTTCTGCTACACTCTCAATACACACCATACTGTATACACACACTCAACACACACACTTAACACACCTCACACACACACACACACTCAACATAAACACATCCTAGACACACAGACCCAACAACTTCTGCACATACATAGACACACACTCAACACACATGCACACACACACACACATATACGTGCACATACTCACCAATTACCCTCAACACACGTGCATTCAACAGACACAACATGTACTCACACACACACACACACACACACACACACTCACACATGCTCAATATGCACACAACACACACAGACACACACAGAAACACTTCTGCCTATGATGAGTAATCATCATGCTTTAACAGTGTGTCATATTTTCACCCTCTCTATCACACACCTCTGACTGTTCAGCAGCTCTGCCAGTGTGTCAGACCCACATGCTGCCTGCTCAGAATAAATACATTTAAACTCACACACACACACCGCAAATGAACATTAGAAGTGACCCACCATGTGGCATCTTCTTGGCCCTCGTTCCAAACAACACACCCACTTTTCCTCAGGGATTAATCAAGCACAGTGTTGACCGGGTCTCTTATTAAGTCTGGCTTATTTGAGCCTCAAGCTGACACGTGTATCCATCCATCCATCCGTACGGCCGAGCATGAGGGACACATTTGTGACTCAACAGGGGCATCTGTGACACCCCTCATGCCAAGAATCGCTCAAGAGTTTCTGTCCTTGACCAGCAGAGGGCGCAAGTTCCATGCCAATAGGAGACAAACCTGCCCCCGCTCAAAATAAAACCCACAAAACTTGTGCTTTGACAGACATTGAGAAGCGATTTGCTCATACCTTTCAACATTCCCGTTTTTCCCAGGAGTCTCCCGTATTTCACACCCATTTCCTGGTCCTCAGCTTTTTAGTACAGTCTGTAACAGCCCCAGGTTGCCAAAACGCAGCAGTCGCTCCCCCTTTTTTATAGACAAATGGCAGGTATGGATTTGTACTTCAGGTCAAACTTGGGATTAGATTTTTTTTTTTTTTTCTGGTAACAAGGTGCCCGCAGGGTCTTAAAAAGTCTTAAAATGTCTTAAATCTCAAAAGCTAAATTTTAGGCCTTAAAAAGTCTTAAAGATACTGAAATATTGTGTTGTAGGTCTTTACAATTGTTTTACCAGGTCTTCATTGTTCTTTGTTCTTTGTGCGTTCATAGCTACCAATCTGGCCATTAACACCCATACAGTCACCAGCAAATCTCAATAAAACTTTTTATTTAAAAAGTTTGTCCTTATAGTAACATTTGCTTAACAGTTCTCTATTTATTTACTTCTGAGGATACTGACCTGACCTAATGTTTTAAATTTAACTTGGTGAAACCTGCAGAAACCCTGTTAAAATGTGAAAAATAAAGTAAAAACTGTGTTAAAAAATGTATAAATATGAAGAAAGATTCAAATTTAAAATCAATGTATTTGATCAAATAAGTTCAGGCTTGGGGAGTGGAATAGGGTTCTTTTAAGATAATAATAACAAATAAACAATCAAGCAAACAAATTAAATAAATAAATAAATAAATGAATACATGAATGAATGAATGAATGAATGAATGAATCATACAGATTTAAAAACTTTGTAGTATTATGGCTGAGTATTTGATCAAATAAATTCAGGCTTGGGGAGTGGAATAGGCTTCTTTTAAGATGATGATGATAATAATAATAATAATAATAATAATAATAATTAATAAACAAACAAATAAATAAATAAATAATACTGATTCAAAACATTTGTATTATTATGGCTGAGTATTTGATCAAATAAAAAACCAACCAATCAATCAATCTATTTATCAGTCATACTGATCCAAAACCTTTGTAGGATTATTGCTGAGTATTTTATCAAATAAATTCAGGCTTGCGGAGTGGAATAGGTTTCTTAAAAAAAAAAATCCTACTGTTCCAATACTTTTGTGGTACAGTATTGTGGTTGAGTCTAATCCATTTTGTGTTGTTCACAGCGGGCAGGAATACACCCGTATTTGGGTTGTGTTGTCATGGCACTGACTCTCATCCAACCTGTCATGGCACTTTTCAGACCTGCACCAGACGCTGCAAGGTAAATCCTGGTGACAGCAGCATTGCACAGTTCAGCCAAAAATGAAATATCCAGACTGAACTGATTAAAAAATGGTTTACTGTTATATTTAATACATTTGAATAAAATGTCATTTGAAAAAAAACAAATAAAAAGTCAATTTTGTTTAAGTTCATAAAGAAAGTGATGTTAATATATATTAGAAATTAAAGTTATGTTAAATTGTAACACTATTTCTCAGTATTACTGTATTTATGATCAAATAAATCTATTACTGTATTTAACAACAACATCCCTGTATGGCTATGATTTATCTGTAGACCCTTGACAGAATGCTAAAATACTTCTTTCAAAATAACCCAAAATCTAATTAGTTGAATGTTATATTTAATTTAAAATACTTGCAAATGACAGTTTGCGATGTTTTGGGACATTATATGTTGTTTGAATTGTCATGTTGACAGTGTTTTGTGTATAACCTGCTCTCAGGAGATACATCTTCAACTGGATGCATTTTGGAACAGGAACAGCAGCTCAGATTGTGGCTGGTAAGAAACAGTGTTGTCAATTATCTTGAGTAGATAATTATATGGCTCAGATCCTTATTAACAACAGCGCTGACAGCAAAAAAGCAGCTTTTTAGGCTCAGTAAATTTGAGCAGTAAACACTTTTGCCTGAAACAAATTGTCTGTTTTATAATCATCGTATGTGATTATTTATTATATTATAGCTAATTGCATTTTGGCGCGTTAGTATAAAGTAGAACATTCTTAATTCCCTGTACAGTATTTTTTAAGGATAGTTTTGTGCAATGTATTTGTTTTATTATATAAAAGCCTGATATTTTAAACCTTTTTTTTTTTCCAAACTCCAAATAAACATATAGTCAATAAGAGCATTTTTTTTCTAAGAACAGCAGTTGGAAATCAGGGTTATTTCATCAAATATTGTTTTATTACCTTCTCTGAAGTGAAAACCTTCATAATGTGCTGTCTAATGAATATAAACATACTATGTTTTTTTTTTTTTTTTCAAATCTAGCTATGTTTTCAACTAAATTTCAACTCAGTAAAATTAGTTAAAGGGCACCTATGGTGAAAAATCTATTTGGACAAACATATGCGTATATATAATGTATAGACCATCATATTGGGGTGATATAAACACACCCAGTCCTCTTTTTTTTTTCAATTTAACAACATAAAAAACGGTGGACCAATTAGAGCGGTTTTCAGACTGTTCCCCCGCCCACCGAATTGATTGACAGCTGCAGGCATTAACATGTTCCGGTAGTCACGTGTATATGTCAACAAGACCAGGCAGACATACGCAAAGCAACCGGAAAAAAAAGGTCTGTTCTGTTCCCTAGGATCATCAATCATCATCAAATGTGATTAAGAGCAAGTTTTAAATGTTTAAAGTGTTTTAAAACAGAGCATGTGTGTAATTAATTACAGCGATTTCCTTCAGCTTTACTTCATCAGCACAGCCGCGTGTAAGAACAATTATAAAAGAAGACGCTTCAATCCCGGTTTGTGGAAGTTAAATCAGGTTTATATTGTACACTAGCATAACAGATATCCACACAGTACTGGAGGTTAGCCTGTATCCTGTCATATTTAAGTGCAAAAACAGTGCTAAGCGCGCTCTGTCTGCCTGCCTGCCTGTCTGCCTGCCTGTGTGTGTGTGTGTGTGTGTGTGTGCGCGCGTTAACTTTGTAACGATATTGTGTGTGACTAATCAATGCAACTTCACAATACTGATTAGTAAAGATTAGTTCTTACTGTAGTATATCTCACAAACGCTACGTGAGACCTTCTTTCTTTAAGTCTGTCTGTTGTCTGACGCAGCTGAGGGAGGAGATTAAAGCACGCGGGAAGGCACGTAGAAACAGTAGGCGGGAAAGACTCATTTTATAGGCGCAGTACGACAAAACCACCCCCTGCTGGAAATCAGTATAAAACAGCATCTTGTAAAAGGTATAATGAAAAATCTGAGGGGTCTTTTGAGCTGAAACTTTATATACATTCTAGAGACGCAAAAGATTTATATTAAATCTGAAAAAAGGGGTAACCTAGGTGCCCTTTAACTAATTATTCACTGAAATCTAACTTAATGGCATAAATAACATAAGTACAGTTTCCATCTTACTGTATATCTGTATGTACTTTCTGGAAACATCTGGATACATTCAAAACATCTTAAATAGTAAGCAGTGTTGCCAAATATTTCCAATGAAAAGTAGCTAAAGCCTGCCCAAAAAGTAGCTAAAGTTGCCAGATGACGTCACGCACTAATTTGCATATAATCGATGTCATCATGTAGTTTCTGACACTTAACTTAAGCCCGTCATGTCTCTACTTTCTGAGGCGCTGTGTATTATATTAAATTAAAACATTACATCTGGATGCACAATAAATAGTCTGTTATTAACATATAACTTGATAAGGTCATTGCGTAATCGCAGCTCAAAACTACATCTTTAAGTAGTATACAGAATAATGAATGTTTTCTCAAATTGACAGGCCATCTTAGCAAAAACAAAAACATTATTTGAAATATGTTCATTTAGATTTGTATGAAAAATATAGTTGACTATTTGCAAAAGTAACACAAACACTTTTTGATAAGAATTTTGTTTTTTAAATATAACACTGATAATGAGCTTTCTTACATTCTTTTAAACAATCACAGCTTGTGTACTTACTCTTTTAAACTTGTTGAATTAACACATTTGTGAAAGTGACAACAATTATAGCACTAATGGAATTTATTGCTATCTAAATTACCAACAATTACACGTGTTAACAAATATGAGTAAATTAACAGTTATGAGAAACAATCTGAGCTAGCAATTTACTTTACTGAGTGAAGCCTGCAGCCACTGCTCTTTTGAGTCACGTTTTAAAAATTGCTAAAATGAATGTAAAAAATTGCTAAATCTGAGTGCTTTTTGAAAAAAAAGTTGCTTGGTAGTATGAAATGTTACTAAATCTAGCAACAAAATTGGTAAGTTGGCAGCACTGAAAGTGAGTGCATTTTAATTTTGGGTGAACTATCCCTTTAAGAAAGAAACTCATCAAGGTTTGAAAAAAAAAAAAAAAAAAAAAAAAATATATATATATATATATATATATATATATATATATATATATATATATATATATNTNTATATATATATATATATATATATATATATATATATATATATATATATATATATATATATATATATATATATATATATATATATATATATATATATATATATATATATATATATATATATATATATATATATATATATATATATATATATATATATATATATATATATATATATATATATATATATATATATATATATAT